CTCCCCCTGCTCTTTCCAGTTGCTGTGTCCTTGCTCATTGGGCCCCCTCCTAGAGGGTTTTCCTCCCTTCAGTGTTCCCCGCTCACTGGGAAAACTTCTCATCCTTAAAATTCACAGGAGTGAGCACCTCTTTCAGGAAAACTTCTCTAACATTCTTCAGAGATCCTCTCTAAAAAAGTTGATTTAGGTCCCCTCCCTGACTCACTCTGAATACCTAGGGAGTGATTTGCAACTGTAATTGCCACGTTTTGTAAAATCTTCTAGTTGTACCCTCATCTCCCTTATGGCGTTGGGAGGTAAAGGGCAGCAGAGTCTGTTTTATTCCTCTTTATACTTCCCACAACAAAATTCACTACCATCTTCTGAATGCTGAGGAAATAATCAGTGAAGATGCTGAAACATATGGAGAAAGACAGGAATTAGAGTTGAAACTCTTCTGGTTAGGAAGATAATTCTAGTAGTTAGGCGAGTCAGTAACATAAACAGAACTTAAATTGGCTTACTGAAAAAAGGAATCATTTGACCTATGAAATCGAAAGGCTGATGATTAGATGAAATTAAGCTGCATGCTGAAGATCAAAATTTCTCTTCAGTAATGAGTTTCAGTCCAGACGTGGCTCCTTTTCTTTGTCTGCCTTCACTGTAGGCAAAAGTTGACAAAGCTCCAGGTTTCTGTCCTATCATATGGGACCCTGCAGGAAGCAAGGACTTTCTTTCCAACCACTTCCTGACAAAAAGGACTCCAGGGAAATTTTTCTCTTACTTGACCAGGCTTAGACCACTTGCCCACCTTGGCACCTATCAGAGAGCCTGGGGGTTGGACCAGGATTGCAAGGACTGACTTTGGGTCATCAGCCCACTCCTGGAGCTTTGGAGTAAAGTTACCCTGTGTGAACTACCCAGATTGGGAGGAAAAAGAGATGACTCTCACAGGAGATCAAGATTCTCTAGGAAGGAGAAAGGAGCCCAAGCTAGGCAGAAATGTGAATATACTAGAGACTGGGCCGGAGGGATGATGTTGACTCTGGGCTGGAGAAGTGTATGCATCCAGGGACCGAATGCCACATTCAGATATCTCCATTCTTCCCCCCTCAGAACCAGAGTCATTCTAGCAGAAGCAGGAATTGTAATGAAGTAGGGTTGGCAGCTGTGATGGCTCAGGTTCCCGAAGCCAGCGCTCGGACAGCAGCGCTGCGCTGCCCATTTCTGCAACTCCATCATCTCAGGATGCAGCAGCAGTTCCAGATTTTAAAGGCAGATTAGATAGTGTCAGTCAAATCTGTAAGGGGCAGTGAATACCATAGCTCAAAATAGGATTTAGTAACTAATGCTTTTATTTTAGGAGTGACTCTATCTTTTAAAATTGGTGATTTCATTAGTCTAAAGTTCAGGCATATAACTCTGTCATTCAGCTCATAGAGTAATTAGTTGGAGAAGACACTTGGTAAAACAAGAAAGAAGGCAATTAATTTAATAGGCTTCATAACACCATCACTTTTTAAATTTTTGGAAAGATAAACATGTGGTTGTTACAGATCGAATGATGAAAATTAACATATTTAGGTAGAAAAAACTATCTTTTTCTACTCATTTTGTAAGCAACTGATATATTACGAAACTAAGTAATTTTATATGTAAGTATAAAATTATAGATAATTCTACAACTATGAGGCTGCTTCTTGAAAAGCTTTTCTCTTTCTTTCTTTTTTTGCTACTAATATAAATTTTCTGATCCTTTATTCATTTGCCCTGAGTATTTGTTGATGCCAATAGTTTGGGGCGGATCTGGCATTAGAACAAATATTTTCTGTTTTCTTAAATTTAAAAGAGAGTAAAGTTCTAGGCAGCCTCCTGTTAATGCCAAAGGCAAAATAGTTCAGTCATTAAAACATGACTCAGACTGGGTCAGCAGAAAGCTGTGATCTCTATCTCCGCATATAAAGCTGACTAAAATGCCCAGTGCCCCTTCTGGGAAGCTCTCAGATTTTGGAGGTGACATCCATTGATTTGGAAAAAACAGACACATGAAATGAATATAGATTTTTATTAATGCAAATATATCATATTCATGCCACAAAAGAAAATTCTTGCTCTTAGTGGAATAAAACAATGGAAGTCTTCTGAGAAGTTTGTTATTTTTTAGTTTTAGGAAAGGTAAAGTTGAACTATTCAACCATGAGAATAACAATCATATATAAACCAAACCAAACCACTCTGTTCTCTTGAAGTTATCCATCATTTTTCTCAGGAAACAAATTTTTTTTTTATATATATTGTGTAGTGGTTAAAGCTGCACACTCTAGAACTAAAGTCCTCCTCACTGAATTTTACTCCCTGTGAGACCTGGGCAAATTACTTAAATTCTCTGCCCCTTGTGGAGAAAAACTATGGAAGAAAAAAAATAACTGGTAACTATTTTGTGGGGACAGTTAAGAAGACTAAATGAAGTTTATATAAATGTAAAAGATTTAGAACATTACCTATTACAACAAAGTGTAATTTACTATGATACTTTATATTTAATCACCATCATAGAAACACATAGAATATAGGAATTTCTAGGGGTGTTGAAGAAAAAAGGAAAGATCTGCTAAAGTTTGTTCCTTAGACAAAAGTTAAAGAGACTTAATAACAGTATCTTCATGTTTTCTGTACTTTATAATTTTTCTAAAATAAGCAGATATACAACTATAATCAGAAAATAAAACTATATTTTTTACTTTTGAAAAATAATTCTGGGCTACTGATTATCTCAAGAAAACACAGTCTTTCCAATTAAGAATCCCAGAAAGGTAAAGATAACAACAGTGGTATCTATATAAATTCTCAATTATTGCCAAGTTACTCAAAGTTTATAAGCTTTAAGTCATCTTTCATTTCTTATTTACTTAAAGAATTAAAAAATTAAATTCCCTGTTTTTTTCTTAGGATTATATGGATGTTGACTGACAAAAATAAAGACAAATCTTTAATCTAGTCATTCATAATCTTTTCTAATAATTAAGAAGGTGCATCTTTAGTTTTATTCATATTTTGTAGTTGAAATTAAAACTAGAATTATAAAATGACCCAACAAGTAAATTAAACAACAAAAAATCCATTCTAAGTTTTCTCTTTAAAAAAGTACATAAATTTTATATTGGTTGGAGCGTTTTTTTTTTTTTCTGCAAAAAATTTTATCTTTGTACGAGGACTTTATCCCCAGGTGAATTTCAGTTTGATAGTATGGAAAAAGCAATGTATGGTTTAAAAAGCGATTTATTTTAAAATGACCGTATATTATATGTACTGCTATTTTACGAATGTTAACACATTTATTTATCATAACAACCTGTTGAAGTAGAGAGCACCATTTAGCTCCACTTTACAGCTGAAAAACCAAGACACAGACTGGTTAAAGGTCACACATTGGTATTGGGAGAGCCAAAATGCCTACCCCGGCTCTGGATCCTGCTGTGGCGCCTCTACAGCAATCCCCTCCTTCCTCTCGTTCCCCTCTACAAACCTTCCCACCTAATATTCCCATAACTCTCACTGGTCTGCACCCAGAGTCACATCTAAACCTGAAACCTACATGGAATCCAACAAAGGACATTAAAATTGAGGGTGAAAAAAGGAGCTACTGCACGACAAAGGCTTAAATGAACAGCTTGAGATGTTTTACTAGAAATCAAAATATGACTACAATTATTTCTCTAGAGAGACAATCAAATCACTGAAGGGAGGACAGTCTATATAACATGGGAGGAAACTGATTTGTGAACAAAAAACAAGAAAAGTGCGATGAGCTCTGATGGGCGTGGCTCAATTGATTGAGCCTTTTTCTACAAAGTGGAGGACCACCTGTTTGGTTCCCTGTGCGGACTCAGGCCTGGGTTGCGATTAGGGCCGCGTGTCTCCCCCACGCCTATTGTTTCTTTCCCTCTCTTTCTCCTTCAATTCCCCTTCTAAAAATAAATTTAAAAAATCTTTAAAAGGAAGGAAGGAAGGAAGGAAAGAAGCAAGGAAGGGAGATTAAATAAGTGATTTGTCACTTGAGCTGATTGCCCAAAACACCTTTTTGTTGCTTAGAGAGCAAACGATGCTACTCACATGGACATCATCTCTTCATTCCTATGACTTTTTTTTGAGCCAAGAAAACTACAGACTGGACCCCATGAGCCCAGGGCAGCCTTCCCTCCCCCCAGCAGCTCCGAAATCACCACCAGCCCCTATTTCCTGTTTTAACCAAGGCCCTCTACACCAAGAGGTAGCACTCAGGGATTGCTAGAGCTCAGGAAGTTCCAGAATTTCAGAGGAAGGAAGCTAGAGAGGATTAGGGCACTTTGTCCTTGATTAGGCGCCGAGCTGAACTTTTGACACTGGTCGTCCGCTCACCCCTGAGAGGACACGAAGTGTGATTCACAAGGCGAACATTTCAAGTAAAATCTGAGATGACAGATGCATTTAAGACTGTATTTCTGCAGAGGTAACTCATCAAGCCAGAGATATTTATGCGGACTTCATAAATGGTAAAACAATCGTCTCCATAATTACACACACACACGCGCGCGCGCACACACACACACACACACACACACACCCCGCCCCCCGCGCCCATATTTCCCCCAATCTTGATAACTAACGTTCGCCACACTGCCTGTCTCCGTTAGGAGGCTACTCACCGCCTGACCCTTTGGGGATCTGGGCGGAAAGAGAACATCTCCCAGTCGGTCGCGTCACGCGGGAGGCCAGCCAGGGCGACACGAGCGGATGCCACCCCCCGACCCCGCCCGGACCTCGCCCCGACTTCCCGGGGCCCCGCCGCACCGTCACTCCCAAACAGGGAACTACGTGCAAGCCTGGGAATTTCCCGGGCCCGGGGGTTGCAAACTTTCCTCCTCGACTATGGATAAAAGGGGTTCGTCTGGTTCGGGGAGCCACAGACCGCTCTCCTGCCAGCTCTCGCGCCAGCTCTCGCGCTCCAGGCACCGCCGCCCCGACCCTCCGAGCTGAGCACCATGGCCCGCACCGCCACCGCCGCCGTCCCCCGCGCCCCCGGACTCCTCCGGGCCGCGCTGCTGCTCCTGCTCCTGGTCGCCGCCTGCCGGGGCGCTGCAGGTGAGACCCGGGGCCCTGGGACCCAAGGGCGGGACAGGGGACGACGCGTGGGCGCCCTTGGGGGACAGCTCCCCTAACCGAGTCTGTTGTCCCCGCAGGGGCGCCCGTGGCCAGTGAACTTCGCTGCCAGTGCTTGCAGACCTCGGAGCGAATTCCCTTCAAGCAGATCCAGAGTGTGGAGGTGACCACCCCAGGAGCCCACTGCGCCCAAACCGAAGTCATGTAAGTGCCAGGAGGCTTTGCAGCTGCTACCACAGTCCTTGTCACCTCCACAATCCAGATGCCCCCACCCTGTCCCCCAGCCCATCTCCCGTCTCACGTGGGTTCTCCCTTCTCTCTGCAGAGCCACGCTCAAGAATGGGCGGGATGTCTGCCTCAACCCCGAAGCCCCCATGGTGAAGAAAATGATCGAAAAGATGCTAAACAAGTAAGTTATGTGACTAGAGTCATTGAGGACAGATACTGGAATCTGCCTTCTGAAAATTGGTATCAGGGAAACCCAGGGTTTAGCTGAAGGAGTAAAAGTCATTTTCTTACAATTAAATTTGTCCTCAAGGTTATTAATGTGCTCTCGTGCCTAAAGGATATTTTGAGTACCCTCTACCACCAATCCTCCTCTCCATCCCCATTCAGATGAATGTTGGCAAATGTGTCTTCCTAAAAGATTAAGTGGGCAATGAGCTAAAATGTCTCCTGCCCGTTAAAGAACAAACACTCTACCTCAGTGGCTTCAGATCTGAAAAGTAGAATCCTTGATTTTGGGCAGCATAGGACTCTGAATCTTAGTGGTGAAGGGAAGAGATTTTCAGTGATCCCCTGCTCCAAATGGAAGTCTAGGCTCCACCTTTTATTATTCCTGTAACCCTGGAGGAAGTTCTTAATCTCTCTAAGTTTCAATCATATGGGAAGAATAATAATACCTACTTCATGGGGTTTGCTGTGGAGCTTAAGTGATGTCATGGGTGTACTTTTTTAGTGAAACACGTTTTTCTAGCTTTCTGAAGCTAATAATACAATTGTGACGACAGGCTCCTTATTCCTAAGTAAACAGCATCCCATAGCCAGGCATTTTCTGCCACACAGAGGGGCAAGGGCATAGGTAGTAACCACTTGGTACAGGGCTATGCGGTCAAGTTTTTGATTCCTAATAAAGCAACAATTTTCTCATCACAGGGGCGGTGCCAACTGACCTAGAGAGAAGGAGGAAACTTAATGGGTTATTGTCGCATCCTTAGTGGAATCGGAGTAAAAGAAGAGAAGGGAAGAGTTCCTGGGGCCACCTGGACTGTGTTTAATGTGGTTGATTATTTCTTATGAGAGTTCTTCTATTTATTTACAGTCATGTGTGTTTATTTATTTATTTATTTATTTTTCAAAGCTTGTGCATTAGTTAATATTCTCTACCTGATATTTAAAGATTTGAAAGGGTTTAGTAATTTGTTCTGTTATTTTTACATGCTCATTTTTATCTTAAATTGGAGGTAGTTCAGCCTTGTTATGTAATTGAAGATGATGCATTTTTAAATATTCTTCATTCAATTTATATTTTTGGTTGTGAAGGGGGTGGGAAACAATACCTCACCATCTACTATGCAAATGCTGGAGCAAAATAATGGGGGATTCAAGCAAATAGGTCACTGTTGAGGCAGGGAAATGTTATGTATACATCTATTTTTGTATTGTTAAGAAGAATAATGACAGTTGTTATTTATTGAAACAGTTTCACACTATGTGGTCAATATTTCTGATGCTGAAGAGAACTAATGTTCTAAATATCCCTTGGACATTTTATGTCTTCCTAGTAAGGCATAATGCCTTGTTTAATGTCAATTATGCATTGTTTCTCTATGTCTTGGAATAGAGAAGTTCAATATTCATAGATGTGTTTTCCATATAACATGAAAATAAAGCTTTTTACAAAAATTTCTTGCTGTGGTTTGTTTTATCTTCTTGACCCCTTGGTTCTCCTGAACACCCAAGTGCTGTAAATTTATACTAGATTGTAGCTCACACCTCCTAAACAACTGCCATTAGTTGGCACTTTTCTTAGTTTCACTCCTATTCATGAAAGGATATTTGATGCATTTTCAAGGTTCTTGCAGGCCCTCATCTTAAAAATCCCTGTTTTACATTAAAAAAAAAAACCCCTCATTTTATTTTAGTATAACCAATCTGTTCCTAATCCTAGCTATTTAAAATTTTTCAAATGTTAATACACATTGTTAAAAGAGCTTATTGAAAATATTTTGTTAGATGGCTTTTCAAACAACTATACATTCTTTTCCCTCTTACTGAAGCTGGAAAGTAAGTTGTGAATTGGACTTGGCGAAGGCAGTTAGAGAGGCATGAGCAGAGCATGAACGATGGGCCAGGTGCAGAGGGTTACCAGGGTGGAGAGCCCCAGGCACCTGCCAACAGACAAAACTATTACAAGCCCTTGCAGGACCGCTCCCTTAAACCCTGGAGATGACATTTGATCTCAGCTGTATTTCAGCTCCATGCAGGAAAAGCAACAAAACCAAGAGGAGCTGACCTCAGGGCCAGCTGCAATGACTAATGCCCTCCTGCCATGGTGCTGACCGATCAGTGGAGACCATGACCCTGAGGAGACACACCAGAGAAGCTGATGAATATTTACTGAGATCCTCCCTTGAGACCTCAGATAAAGGCCCTCAGGATGGAGGACCCAATGCCACACTCTCTCTCTGACTATGAAGCACACCCAAGCCTTTCCCCACCCATTTCTTTCCCCAGGGTCCCCCGCCAACGAGATGCCAGAACCTCTCCTTCTTTCGCCTCCCAAGGCAGGTGCCCCCTCTTTGTCTTTGTCTCTGTCTCTCTCCCTCTTTTTCTCCTGAGCTCCTAAGGCCTTTCTTATGCCGAGACTTGTTTACTGAGCCCATTTCTTCTATGACTCACTTCTTTTACCTGTTACGTTTTAAATAAATGCCCTCTTAGGACATGAGTCTTCACTCTGAATTCTTCTGTTAGCCAGATATCAAAAACTGAGGTTGCTGAACTGAGGTTAACAACTGGTGCAGTGTTTCTGCAGTTTACATTCTTCCTCAGAACTCAAACAATTTATCTGTGTTGGGGGCAGAGGCGGGAAGCAGATCAAGCAACCGGGGGAGTGCTTCCTCTAGGTAAAAGTCTGAGAGAGGAGGGCTTCATTTTCTAATTTTTGTGGAGAGATAACAGTCACAAGCATGATGCTGTTCCAATGTTTCACAGGTATAGTGTTGGTGTAAGTGTTTCTAAACCCATAAATTTGAATTTACATTGCCCCAGGATGAAAGGAATGCATCCAGTTTTCCCAGTCATCTAATAATAGGGAAAAGGAAAGATCTGAGTCACCTTGAAATGAACACTGTGAAATCTGAAAAGGAGAACAGTTTGTGCCCAAGTTGGGAAAGCCAGCTAGGGTATGTGCTTGTCTCTGATTCAAGACCTATCCTGGGCTCCTTGACAGCCTTCCTCCGGGCTGAAGGAAGACAATGGGTGCGTGACCAGGCTCGTCCTGAGCATCTGGGTACGGCTACTCAGAGCCTCCATGTAGTCCCCTGAAAATTAAGTATACTAGTTTCTTCATAAATTCAATTGTATTTTCTCAGAATCAATGAGATAAGATGGAAAAGTAATTTTTAAATTTGATGGAGATGAACAAATGCAAACCGTTCTGAAAGCTGCATCCATGCCAGCACCGATTCCTTCCTTGACCCAGAGTCAGAGGCTTATGTTTCAGGCTGTGGGAAATAAAACTTTCTTGAATTTCTCAGTGTTCTTATGAAAAGTTCTAGCTTCTTCACATACCTTGAGTATTAAATCTGTAGCCATTTGTCCAGTTAATTGCTCTGATCCTAACACATAATAAAACTTCTATAATCTCTCCCACGAGGACCCAATGTTTATCTCCAGAACTGGTAACAGAGAAACAGCAGCAGATGTTAGACCTCAGTCCTTGCGTTTTGGCTAAGAAGGGATTCAGAGTCAAGACTCAAATATACGCCAAAGTTTATTTAGAAAGTCACAGAGGTAGAAGAAGTGAGCCATGGAAGAAGTGAGCCAGTAAGGCATGGCTCAGGAAATAATTTAGAGGCAAAAGAAGGGCCCTTAGAGCTTAGGAGAAAGAAAGAGGAAAAAAAAAAACACTTGGAGGTAGGAGAAGGTGAAAGGTACACGTGTGTTCCAGAGAGAGAGAAAGAGAGAGCAAGCTCACACTAGGGAAAGAAGCAGGTGGGGAAAGGCAAGGGCATGCTTGAGAGAGAAAGTGTTGGGCCCTTTGTCTTAAGTGTTTAAAAGGTGTGGATTTTAAGGGAGGTGTCAGGGGAGGATCTCAATAGAATACTCATTCGCTTTCCAGGTGTGTCTCCTCAGGGTCATGGTCTCCACTGATCGGGGCCGGGGCAGCGGGTAGCAGACAGCACACCTGGTCCTGATGCTGACCGTGGCCTGGTGGTGCTGCTTTTCTGGGCGCAGAGCTGAAACGCGACTGGGGCCTAGATGTGATCTCTAATTTGATCAAAACTCTGTCTTTGTGCTAATCAAACCCAAATAATTGTAAGATTATTTGCTGTGGGCCAGAATCTCACTGTCCTGGGGGCTTAATATTTAAAGGAGTGGTAATGCAAGGGCTTGCATGGGAATCATATGAGGCTTTTCGACGGCTCCCTTGTTCCTCCTCTAAGGGAGTCTAGCATCATGTCAGGAGAGGGAGGTTCAGGGGAGGGTCTAAACTGCATGATCAGGGATATGCTATGGGAAGAAAGGTAACCCTGGGGGAGCAAATACTCACCCGTTTGCCCCTGCTTCCCTGCATGGTGACCTTCCAGACCTGACCTATGTTGCCTATTCTGCCTGTTTAACTGCCTACTACAGGACTACATCTCAGGTTAAGCCTCAGGGTGCTGGGAAGACTGAATGTATGAACCCCAGGAAAGGAGATTACACTAAGAATGGCTCCTCGTTGTCAACTGGGCTCAGATTTAGAAGCAGAGTTCAGCAGCCATTTTTAAAAAGGGGTCTCTTGTGCAACACTTTGGAGAGAGCCCTGTACTGCCTATATTGTGTTCCTGCCATCTGAGCCAGCCGTTATAAAGGTGTACCTAAATATATTTCAACCAATATGACTGAGACTTTCTTTGTTCAATCAGAGATGCACAGGTAAAGCCCCATCAGCATCTTCACTGACCAATCAGAGCAGCTCCATTATGACCAATGAAGACAGTGATTTTTTGGACCAAACTCTGAGGATTTGGAGTCTTCCTTTGCATGAAGATAGACCAATCAGGGGCCAGGGTTAAGGACTTCTGTCTATATTAGTTAGCTCCCCACTAGCTCCAGAAGTGCATTTTTTTTCCCACTAAAGACTGAAGATTGCTTTTCCCATGCTGGAGGAGCATTCTGGCAAGGAACTGGAGTAGGAGGAGCAGAGTAGAGCTACATAGCTGAAAGGGAGCCTTGGACCCAGGGCCATCTCAGTCTCCTCAAAATCATGCTATGATCCTCCATAATCGAGCTGTACCACTGTTGAGCTGTTCTACCACCGAGCTAGTCTCACAGACCTGCTGTATCACAACTGAGATGTTTACACTGAATAAAGTTTCCTCTTCATCATACCTCAAGTTAGGGATTCTTGTTCATGTTTAATTGGTGCCAAAAACCATGGCCTTCTGTTGACAAATGTTGTCTTTCAAAGTATTTACATGTCAAAAAAGATAAACCCACAGAATTTAGAAACATCCTTAGGTCATAAAAATGGATACTGGGGGCTATCTGGCTCTTGGAGAGGTTGATTTACATACCAAAAGGTTGGAGTTAAAATGTAGTTCTGTGTGTTTCCAAGGACACCCTCCCTGGAGGGCAATATAGGACAAAGTTCTCCTTCCTTCCCCTTTATAAGCAAAGAAAATTGACTCACTTCCCTGCCCCAGCCTAGGGCTGTCTAGCTACTGGCTAGGAGACTTGACGCGTCTTTTTTTGTATCACCCCAAGGGTAAGGCCTGAAGCAAGCAGGAAGTGACACATTCACTATGAAGTAATTAAAAAGAAATCTGTTTTGGTTCCAGAACATTTCTTGTGTGTATTCAGAATAAAATTTTAGAATACAAATACTAAAAACTTAACATGACCTTTATTAGCTTGGTGGATGAAGAAGAGGATGAAGGAGATGGAGTTATTCATAGGGTGATTAAGATCATGAGTAATGAAGAATTGGGCTCATCTAGGAGTAGTTTTCAGTTCTAACACCTTCTATCTGTGTAAGT